CCGCATCGCCAAACGGTTGTGGTGTGCTATTATCCACATCGGTCATTTCCGCTTCAGGTTGTAGAGATGAACTCTCACTCCCACTCGGTAGAGAGTATTCAGCTTTACCAAATCTTTTCTTAAACCTCAAAAATTGTCGCCTCTCTACCATTGTTGTGAGGAACGGCTTTCCATTATCCCAAAAATAAGCAAGGTAAGCCGAAGTCTCAAAATTAAAGTCGTCATCTTGAATGACGTCAAGAGTTGACATGAATGAAGCCCTATTGTTCCAAGCATTAATGTAGGTTGCATGCTTCTCAACCCAATTAACGCCTTCTTTACGACGACCATCAAATCTGTGCAGATCGTCATGCGTCTCAACCCAATTCACCGGACGACGATCATCTAAGTTTTGGAGGAGGTCATGATCCCATGGATTCCGCGGAATAGGTTGGTGGAAGTGGAATTGCCTCAGCACTCTATCCCCAAATTAGATTTCAACAAAAGCAAAATTGATCAATGGTGTAACAGCACACCAATATTGAAACCCATCTAAAATATCGTGCGGTATCAACGCAAATAATTCTTCATTCATGTATGGTCTCCAATTAAAATGTAAAATTACAAAAACAATAAAATTAATTTAAATCAAATAATATAGTTAATTTAAATAATAAATAAAAAATACAAATTATACATACCTCATTTTTGGCCTTAATGTCGATCTTCAGCCTGAACTCTTTAATGTTGTTGTGCACCAACCCTGTGCCTTCAATTTTATGCCTCCATCTGTATATCAATCAAAACAAAAATAGAGATATTTTGTTCAATAATTTTAATCAAAATAAATTTTTTCTAGTTAATATTTTATATTAATGATTCATATTACCTTCCGGCAAGTGGAAAGTCAACCGCAGTCCGACTAATCGGTGTCAAAAATGGAAGTCTATGCCAAGCCCATGATTGTAGCAACAATAGACATCCACCGATTTCTGCTGTATTATTATCATTCACGACTAATGACGCCTTGCACATCTCACGATACAAGAACACCAATATCGCCGAACTCCAGCTATATTGCCTACAATTCTCAAAATTTGTTAAAAAAAAAAGAAGATACTGAATGTGAACATAACTACCGGATTTATCAGGCATCAAAATTCCCCAATCAACTGTAATATATATGCTCGTGTTGCATATATAATTTCGTGCTCCGTACTATTTGATTGAAGTTGAAATTCATTCTTCAACCATGACAACCTCACCCGCCACCCTCTACACTCTGGTGGTACGGGCGCTTTCCCAAGAAACAAGTTGCAAAGTTGTGCCACATTTTTAAACTCATGTGACATTACTACCGGCATCCCATTAGTTTGGACCCCGAGTTGCATTGCCACATCCTCCAAAGTTATCGTGCATTCGCCACACGGCAAATGAAATGTGTGCGTTTCTGGTCTCCAACGTTCAATCAATGCACTGATCAAACCTGGGACCAACTTGTAATCTCGCACAAATGTTACATACCAAAATCCAGCTTTTGCAAGTTTTCTTCTATCAATGGGTGTGGCTTGGGCACTTTATGTAGCCGAAAACGAAGGACTCGCTGCTCGTCCTCCTACAATTAAATAATGCAAAACATTTATCACAATCACCTTAAAATAATATTCAAATATTTATTAATTATAATTCATTAAACAAATATTTTTTTCACCATTATTCCCAAATGACTTGAAATATGTTCATTGTCAAATCTCAGCAGTGGAATTTGGTCAGCCATTGGAATGAATCTGTAAAAAAAATTAAACAACAATATTTAAAAAATCATTTAATATAATCTAGTGTTAACTAACTAACTAACTAACTAATTTACAACCCAACAAAAAAAAATTAATATAATAACTTATAATATAATAAACTTATAAAGTAACAAACTAAACTTTTTAAAATATAACTTAAACATAAATTTTCTTTAAACAACTAATAAACTATTCTTTAATATAACTTCAACTAATAAACTATTTTTTAATATAACTTAAACTAATAAAATATTTTTTAATTATAATTCACTACTAAAAAACTAATTAACTAAATTTTTTATATAAAATAAATTCAACAAATCATATGGCAACTTAACTATTTAACTAACACAAACTAATTACATATTTTTATATATAACTAACTACTAACTAACAAACTAACTAATTAAGTAAATTTTTTACCCTAACCCTAAACTAACAAACTAATAATTTAAAATAATAAACTAATTTAAATAAAATAAAATGAAAATTTACCTCGATGTTTGCTTGTCGGACTCCCTTTCTTCTTCTTCCTCTTATTCCTTTCCTTTCTCTCGACACTCTTCTCCCTTTCTTTCTTATGCTTCCTTAACCCCATATCATACCCCCTATATATTAAAGGGTCGGCTGTCATGCACCAATAATTGAAGAATCACGAGCCGTTGATTCTCGTGGATTGCAGCAATAATTGCTGCATGAAGCAGCGAAAATTATGCTGCAATAATGCAGCGAGCAGCGGGAGCAGGCGAGTATACAGTGGGGAGCAGGCGACCATGCAGCGTGGAGTAGGGGCCAAAGACAAGGTCGCGAGCAGGCGAGCATGCGAGCATGCAGCAGGGGCCAAAGACAAGGTCGCGGGGCGTGCATGGCGACCTACCATCGCCGGGCGTGCATGGCGGCCTAGGAGGTCGCTGGGAGTGCATGGCGACCTATGGTTGGGTTGTGCATGTCCCATGCACACGATCATTCCCATGCACACGACCCTCGTCGGAAGCCACGTCGTAGGTCGCCCGGAAGACATGGCGACCTACGGCCAACTGTGCAATTCACCCTACTTCGGCAATTAATCTTGGGAGAACGTTATTTCGTGAATTATTTATTTTGAAAGCATTATATCGTGAGTTTGGCCGACTTCAGACAATAGTGTTTGTGAAAAGAGTTTGATGCTTAGTACTGAATATCTTTGAGAATTAAGTGATACTGTTCCAACGAAATCGTGACGTGGTAATGCTTATTAAGTTTGAGCTTAAGCTGTTAGTTAGAACTTTCATACTATTTAGGGATTGCAAATTTTTTTACCATGCTCAAACTTAGTACTGAATATCTTGAGAATTAAGTGATCGAGTTCCAACGAAACCGTGATGTGGTAATGCTTATTAAGTTTGAGCTTAAGCTGTTAGTTAGAACTTTCATACTATTTAGGGATAGCAACATACCCTGCTTGCATCTTGTGATCATATGAGTGCTTTTGCATTGACCCCTTAAGCTTTTGTGTGTGAGTGTAATTGTTAAGAACATTTTTTCAGATGTTTCGCTGATAAAGGATGAGTACACTGGATGTAACTAGAGCGGAACTTGCTCTTATAGTTTTGTATTTGAATAAGGCTGAAGCAAGGGATAAGACATGCAGGACTATACAATATGGCTCGAAATTTTTAAGTAACGGGCAACCTGGCACAACACAATGTTGACAAATCAACCAGCTTGGCTCGGAAAGTGTTCCATCTTTTTAAGGTTATCTCACTATGGCAGATACTAAAACTAACTATTTGGCTTATGTTGAGCAAGGATTGACTTTGTTCACTTGTTAGATAATCTTTCTTTTCTGTTTGTTGTATTGGTTATACTACCAAAGGCGCATGATGGCAAACTTAAGTTTTTGTGTTATTTTTATTGTAATATGACGATTCTTGTCTCTCTGTGAATTTGCAGTTTGTCAATGATTTGCACGCTCTTATTAGCCCGGTTCCTCAAGGAACCCCCCTTCCTCTTGTTTTGTTAGGAAAGGTATTATAAACTCTTAATTTTCTGTGGGATTTCTGTACACTCTCAGCTTGGTTATTTTAATGTCCTTGGATTAATTTAACGCTTGTTTCAATCAAAAAATGCATTGTTGTCGACTTTCTTATTTCTGGATCAAATTGTCTGGCTTCACAGATCAGGCATCTATAAGGTATGCAACACACTTCATTTTGGCATTCTCCTTAATTTTTTGTCTCGGTTTACAAGTGTTAATTGAACAAAAAATCCAGTTACAGAACAAAGAACGAGCTGAGTTGCTTGGAAGAATATCCCTTTTCTGTTGGTTGTGTTCATCAGTTTGTACCACGTTAGGCGAGGTTTGTTGCTGTTCATTACTTTTATATCAAGTCTCTTCCTACAGTGTTTTAAATCTATTCAGTTAGCTGAAATATCCAACTTTTTCGGAACATATAACTTCTTTTCGTCGGCTTGGGGAGCTCGGAAGCCTATCTATATCAATGAAAAAGTTGGAAAAGAATCTTAAGAATATCGATAAGGTATACTCGATATGTCTTTTCTCTGAAACGTCATTATAATCATTATTCTCCATTCTACGATTCTTTTGTTGCTGTAGTTTCCAACTTTCTTGTGCTTGTATAAACACAGAATGAGGAGTATCGTGCGAAGCTCCAAAAATCAAATGAGAGGACTCTGGCCCTTGTCAAAGCAGGAATGGATTAGTTGTAGCAGCTGGGCTTCTTCAATTGGCACCCGAGAAAGTAACTCCCCGTGTAACGGGAGCCTTAGGATTTGTTTCATCTCTCATCTCCTGTTATTAGGTACTCGATTCCATCCTGATGATCTTGGATTGAACATCTTTATTTTTCACCGGCTGGTTGGATATTAGAAGTGAATACATGCATGGTAATTGCTAGTTTTGTTGAGGAATAGTTAAAGATTGACATGGAAATAGAGAAGTTATACAAGCTAGTCAATCGTATACTGATGCCAACCTTTGGTAAGTAGCTCAAGGTATGAAGTTGGACATTTTAGATCCAAATGTAAAATTTATTGAGAAGCTGTTTGGAGGGCAAAATGTAAAATTTAATAATTAAAAAAGGCACGTGTCCTACATTCATTGGACACGTTTTTTCAATGAATTTAACAAATTGATTTTAAAATAATTCCGAAATAAAATATTAAACATCTACTTTGAAAAAAAAAGAAATAATTTAAACACTGGGAATAAAAAACAAAACGGTATAATTTAATCACTCATGCCTAAAATAAACTTGCCATTCCATTACTCAGCATCACACTGCGCCGATCTGAAAGCCTCGAAGCACTTACATAGAAGCTTCTAAATATTTTGATAAAACTAGCACACAATAACTAAATCCTGAACAAAGTTTAGGTAAAACTCGGCAAGACTTCTAGCGTTGTTTACAGGAAATTTTAGCTTACCATGTGACCCTGTAACTAGAACAAGTTTATTATTCCTCATCATCGTCCGATTCTTCATCCTCTATGTCCCATCCATATCCATATTCCATTACGTCGACTACATTTCCCCCGTTCTCCCGCAGTAAATTCACAATCTGCTCCAAGTCTCTCATTCGCATCTGCAGAGTGGATGCAAAGCTTGTCTGTTCGGGTTCGGGTTCGGGTACGGGTGGCGGTTGTGTATAACTCCGTGCCTCCAGCATAAAATTTTCAGACGGTTCGAGTATCTGTATACCGAAGGCAGGAGATAATGGGCATCCCCTTACTTCAACATGAGAGACACTGCAATGATGCCACCCAACAGATTGCATCAATAAAAGGGCTTAGCAAGATGGCAAAAAATCACCACATACACCTATCCACAAACATTGCAATTGATTCATGGGTCCCAAAGACAAATCTTGTCGAAAAAAACCTATTACTCATAACCCTGTTACAACATGTTAATATCAAACCAGGTAAATAAAGGGTGCACCTGACAGTACCATATATAGTATAAGCCATCCATGTCCTGTCTCTGGACCCTACCCAACAGCTCAATCTGTAACATCCCACCAATGCAAAGAACAGGTTCTGGAAGCTTGAAATTCTGCAATTTATTTTCCTGCTCATGTAAAAATACAACGTAATCAGTTCTCCTGTGTGAGTTATTACAAAACTACAAGAGAATTAACTTCACAGAGCATGCATCTGGAAGATGGTAACAACTGAAAACAGAAATGATGTTAGGAGTCATTTTAGTGTTGTATTAGTATCACATAAAGTCATTTTTATTCAATATAAGCAATGGATGCTCTCACAATAACCGGATCTAGTATTTATTATAGCAACAAATAGAGAAATCCAAAAAAAAAAGATGAAGCCAAATGGACCCAGACGCTTGAACCCACCTGAGTCATAGGAAACTCATCTGAGCTGTAAGTCCATACAAACTTCTCATGACCACAATCCTGGCATGATTCACTCACAAGATTGTCCACATAGGACTTCATATGACCCATCCGAAATCTCACTGAGTTAGCGGAGTATATTGGGTTACCAAACTGGAAGTAAGCTGGATTAAAGAAAATATCTGATAAGAAAAGCTTCAAGTTTCAAGTTTCAAGCTAATATAAATAAGATTGGTGAAAGATGGAAAAAAGAGTTGCACGAATATTGAAGCAATTACCTTGGAAGGGTCTTATACTGATTTCAGTAATAACACATAAATCAGCACATAATCTATATGTCAATGTTTCGGGCACTGCAGGGTTTTTTTGTCCTTTACTTGACCAGTATGAAGCTCTCCGTGCCACCCTATCTCTTGGTTCCAAAGTATTATCTATGCTTTCCTCCGGGTAATTATCAGTGCTAGAAGCGATGATTGCTTCTGAGATGCACTCCCTGATATCAAACGACAAACAACCTCGAGCTAAAAAGGCATAAACTCTATGCTCCCTCTTCAAGGCTTCCCATTCCATAAAATTGCTAGATCCAGCTTCAGCATGGCCTTTTGCAGCGCTACTTAACTCATTGACATGATCAACTCTAGATAATTGAGGAAACATTCTGAGGCACAGTTGCTTACATAGGCCATTTTTAATCACTGCAAACCATTGAAAACTCATAAAGTCAGCAATGACAGCAAACAGGTCACGCATAAAAGTCAAAGACCAGCAATGCAAGATTGATATCATAATGAACACAAACTGTGACACTACTATAAAGAACAACAAAGGACATGAGTGCCTGTCTCATCTATTTCCAACTTTAAATGTTGCTTAGGTGGGTTACTCTCTTTTCCTACTGACATTAGCAGGTTTTGAAGCAAGTTCTTAGGATGGATCTTCAAGTTGGGCTTTTGCTCAGAAAACTTAAATGTAGGAGAGAATTGCACAAATGAGAATAAAAGATCTAATTGCAAACAAATCAGCTTATTAAGATAAGTAGTGGTGAAATAGGGATGTACAAATGAGAAAAAAGAATATTTAGCAAAAGCATTCAGCTAGCTAATCAATCAAAACTTTCTGGCATCAAAGGAAATATCTGATAAGAAGATTTTGAGAACTTTAATAGAATTGATAGAATGTATATGCATTGAACTGAGAGGATTATAACCGATTGTTTATACTGAAAACCAATTTACTTCAAACAATCAAATTTATTAAATAGATAAATATGGGACAAGAAATAAGGCATGGAAAACAAGGAACTGTATGGAAAACCAAACTGCCATGAAAATACTGTCCACCTATTTCCACATGATGCTAAGCTCCATTAGAACTTTACCAAAATGACAAAGTAAGATGAATCCAGTCTTTGCCTCATAAGCTTTTATAGCATTTAACAACTACAGAGAAATTTTAATTCTAGCTCACCAAAATGTTGCCAGGAGCGTGAGACAGCACCAAAGCGAACAAGATCAGATGGATCTTCCAAAGACGTAAGAATCTTTATTGACAAGTCATAATGGAGCAAATTCAAGAAATCCCAACAATTTTTCATTTTTTTCCTTTTGAATTTCTACAAAGGCATCAAGCAGCTATGCAACCCTGAGTTTTCTTTAGCACTGCAAAAAAAAAAAAAAAAGTTAACTCTTATATTCAGTAAACTAAAATCTTCAGGGCCTCAGGCTTCTTTTATCTATTTAATACCCCATTTTAACCATTATCTTTTCAATTAATCAAACTCTTGCTGTTAACAAGAAAATAGTAAATACAGTATCATATATGATTCAAACAGGCCAAAACAAACACATCAATGCAAGCCATAAAATCATGCTTCTTATTCTAGCAAGTTGAATTTCAGGTTATAATCCTACTCCTACAATAATATGTTTCCATATTGTATCCAAAGGCACATTCGACCTTCTTTCTTTTCTCTTTCAGAGAGTAAAAGTGACAAATAAAGGAAAAAGTGAGCTTAAATCAATAATGCCAATAACGCACATCATGCAACCAGAAAACAAAAAAAAAATTATGAGCTTAGTTGTGGAAAGAAAGCCCCAATCCATAAATTCACGCAAGAGGGGGAAAAAGGCTAAAAATTAGAGAAGGAAACGAATTTTTTTTTGGGTAAGTGAGATTATCCGATCATAAACAGGATCATCTAACTACGACACTTTCATCAGCTTTAATCCGACTAAGCTAAGAAAGTAATTTGCATAAAATAAACTTAATCTCGAGAGGGTTCGATCAGACCATAGAATTGCAACGAATGATTAACAATCCAGTGATAAATAAAAACCTATTCACAACATTAACAGCCAATTCTAATCAGTATTATGATTAGTACCAATAATCCAATCAATTGAGTTTAATTGCAATCTCGATAAATCAATTACAAAAAAAGTAACAACACGTGTAAACTGACAACCTCAAAGATTCCCGAATTCAACCAATTCCAATGGATTCAGAAAATAAAACAAAATTTGAGGGGAAATAAGGGCAAGGAATGAGAGTTTTGAAGGGGGGAAATGTTAAAAGCAAAGCAAAGGTACTCGCTTTTTTTATGATAAATGAAAAGAAAAGCACGAAACCGAGAATCTTCTAAACAGAGGAAACCATGGAGATGGAAGGTGAAGGGGAAAAGGGAGAGAAACTGTCGTTGTTGGAGATTATTGGAACAAAGCGATGGCATACGAGCTGAAGGCACATGTGATTGCCCAATACCCCCGGGTAAAAAAATTAGGGTATTGGCCTACAAAGGTTTATTTAGCAAACTACGACTTTTCTTACAGTCTAATCGAAAATCGTCACTTCAACATAATGAATTTTGTTAAATATTATTTTTTAATAATTCCGTATAACGGGTTTCACTTGGATCATTATTTAATTAGGTTTATAAAAATATTTAACTTTTATTTTAATTTAAAAAAATTATATAAAAAAAGATCCGACGAAACTCATCACGTCGAGGTGACGAGTTCGTTTGAATTTAAGAAAAATAGTCGTTGGGCCGTTGTTTAAACGGGCAGGGGCAGCAACAGTCAATGAAAATCATCACCTCAAGGTGACGAGTTTGGCCGGGAATAATTTAAAAATTTTGAAATTAAAAGGAAATTGAATTTGTTTAAATTTTACAAAGTAAATAAATAAATGTAAAAAATAATTTTTTAGAGGAAAATTACAAAGTAAAAATCAATTTATCTATGTCTTCTAAGTTTTTGACGATGTCGCAGAGTGGTCAAGTGATAGGGCTCGTCGAGTACGACGGGATCGTAGGCCTTGAATCTTGATCGTCGTCTTGTCGAGGATGTGTACCGAACACACTCTATGATCCACCTTCGAAATTTGGTGATGGATTTATGACATTTGAGGCTATCATCGTCGTAACTGCTTCGACTTAGCTTTGGTGACCATATAGGATATGGTCTCACTCACCCGCAACTTCATGTTATGTCGAATATGATTTAGTATACTGTGGTGCATCCCATGAACATCCAACCCAATTCGGTCGAGTCTCATATAAAGCGTGAAATGGAGGATAGAAATCGAAACTGGCCTGAGATGATGAATAATAATACTCTTCAGTAGCAGATGCTGAAGAGGAAGCAGAAAATGACAACGCTTTCTTTTTGGACTTGGACTTGGCGTGCGTGGCCTGATGATGTTGTCATTTGTTGGTAATGCTCAATCCCACATAGTATTGGAAATACTATTGGGAATGGGTATTTATAGTATGGAATTCTCATTTCCTTGTTGAGTGAAAGAGAATAAGGGGGACTCTCACGCACCGCCGCCGCCGTCGTCCGTCTCATCTCGGCACGGCTCGGCTCGTGGTAGTGGTCGTGGTCGTGGTCGTGGTAATACGTGTCTTCGACACGTCCGCGCGGATACTATCTTTTTAGAGAAAATTCTTGAGGAATTTCTCTTTGAAAGAAACAAATGGAAAAATGTGAAAGATTTCAACTGATATTTATAGGCTGTTGAGGACTGTTTAATTTCAAATGATAACAGCTGGTTTATGAGAGTTATCAGAAATTAAACAACTTTTCCTAAATTAAATAAAAAACGTTAAGATGTATCTGGACTATAATTTCGAGAGTTATAACAGCTAAACAATGATGCAATGAACCTGGACTATTTTTGAGTCAGGTTAATCTAGATGTTTCAGTTGTTACAAAAGAAGATATTTAATCCTGAAATTTTATGGACGATTTTAACTCTATTTCTAGCCTATAAATAGAGGGCTATATTCAGCTTCTCAACTCACTCTCAACATTCACAATTCACTCTCAAAGTGTTTTATGCAATTATTCTTTATGTGTTTTCCGATAAGAAGAGCAATACCACCGACAGTCCATTCCGATTTCGGGTGTACAGAATTCGGAGCGACCGTGTTAACCTCGGGGGACGGTCCGCCTACTGCAGCGATTATACACATCGGGGGCGAATTCGTTTCTAAGGCAGTGGTTATACCACGACACGGTTTACGAATCTGTTCCTTTTAATTACTGTTTATATTTCCAGTCAGTGCTAACGGTGTAGTTTTGCAGTCCATATATCCAACAATTTAGAAACGAATTATATATACTGCAATCATGTCAACACCTTTGAGCAAACTGATACCCGATCTTTCCAAGCTCGATGCACTTGATGGAAAGAATTATAGAAGGTGGTCCTAAAGAATCCTGATATTCTTCGAGCAACTTGATCTTGACTACGTCCTGCTCAAGCCACCACCTACCATGCCGCCAACCCCAGCTACCGGTAATGATGCTGATGCGGTCCTCAATGATGATGCCTTAGCAACTGCCGATGCTGCACTCGCTACCTACGAGAAGTACGAGAAAGACAACAAAATGGTGCGAGGACATCTGCTCAATCACATGTCAAATAAATTATTTGATATGTTCCTTAGAGAAAGGAGTACCAAGACAATATGGGATACTCTCGATAAAAAGTATGGTGCGGACGATACTGGAATCAAGAAGTACGTTGTCGGTGAATGGCTCAAATTCCAGATGACTGATGACAAGCTGATAATGGATCAAGTCCATGACTATGAGAACCTAGTCGCTGACATCATCGCCGAAGGGATGCAAATGTGCGAGGTGCTGCAAGCCAATGTTCTCATTGAGAAGCTGCCCAAGTCCTGGTCCGACTACCGCAACTCTCTTAAGCATAAGAAGAGAGAAATTTCGCTTGAAGAGCTCGTGGGCCATATGAAGATTGAAGAAGCCAACCGTTTAAAAGATAAGCTTACTAATTCTATGAGTAATTTATCTTTTAGAGCTAACCTGGTTGAGTCTAAATTTAAGAAGATCATGAAACATGAGAATCAAGACAAGAAGACGAAACCTCAGAAGGCTATCAACTTCAAAAAGTCAGGAAAGGCCAAACCTGAAGGAAAGACGCTCAAGTGTTATGTCTGCGGTTTACCCGGCCACAAAGCTTACCAATGCCAACACCGCTCAGATTGCCAGAATAATAACAAGCCACAGATGCACGTTGTAGAAGAAGATGATGAGATCATTACTGCGGTGGTCTCAGAAGTCAATATGGTGGAAAACAGTTCGGAATGGGTTGTTGACACTGGCGCTACAAAGCATTTCTACGCAAGGAATGAGTTTTTCATCGAATTCGAGGATGGGAATGAAGGTGAACGTGTGTACATGGGGAACTCTAGCAGCTCTGAAGTGCTAGGTAAAGGCAAAGTTTTACTCAAGCTGACCTCTGGTAAAACTCTGGCTTTAAATAATGTTCTGTATGTACCTGCCTTGCGTAGAAATTTGATAAGTGGTGGGCTTCTAAATAAGGCAGGCATTAAGTTAGTTTTTGAGGCAGATAAACTTGTACTTTCCCGAAATGGTGATTATGTTGGGAAAGGGTTTTTAAGCAATGGTTTATTTTTCATAGAAACACAATTTAATGAAAATAAAGCTACCAATTCTTCTTATATTGTTGAATCCATTGATATGTGGCATGCTAGATTAGGACTCGTGAATATTCATGCTTTAAAGAAATTGATAAATATGAATGTTCTGCCTAAACTAGACACAACTAGCTTTAACAAATGTGAAATTTTTGTAGAAGCTAAGCATACTAGACCTCACTTTAAGATTGTTTCTAATAGAAAGACTGAGCTGTTAGAACTTATTCATACTGATCTAGCAGATTTTAGAAACACTGAAAGTAAAGAAGGAAAACACTACTACATAACTTTTGTAGATGATTATTCAAGATATACAAAAGTTTATCTCCTAAGGACTAAAGATGAAGCTGAAAAATTCTTTCTTATTTATAAGGCAGAAGTTGAAAATCAGTTAGATAGGAGAATCAAACGGGTTAGATCTGATAGAGGTGGCGAATATGGATCTAATTTTTTAAAAGATATTTGTGAAAAGAATGGCATAATTCATGAAACTTCAGCCCCCTATTTTCCTCAACAGAATGGTATAGCCGAAAGGAAAAATAGAACTTTAAAATAGATGATGAATTCTTTACTAATAAGTTCAGGGTTATCTGATAACATGTGGGGGAAGCCATTCTATCGTCAACTCATATCTTGAACCGAGTTCCTCATAAGAAATTAGAT